CGCGATCTTCGGGAAGCCGTAGCGGTAGAGGCTTTTTCTCTCGAATTTCGCGGATGACGATGACCACCAAGTGAGGGGTGGCCAGAAATATCATGCAAAGCTGTTGCGAGTGTTGCGCTGAGTCGCGTGTTGATTAATGAGGGCTGGAGCTTTGCTTTGAATAGGGGGGCAAAGCGCGAGTGCTTAGGCTTAGACCGAGCAACTGTCCGACGCGGTTCAGGCTGCGGGTTTCGGTTCAGGCGGTTCTGAAAGAAGGAGCTTGGCTGTTGTGCGAAGCCCTCTCCTCCTTTCGCCGAAGAAAGTGTGGCAGCGCAAGACCTATTTCTGGCCAGTGAGTCTAACCGTTGCTCGGAGGCCGTGAGGCCGACTGCTTGAAACCGCTTGTCTCCCAGCGCCTCAGCCCTCTCTTCTAGGCCACAGGCCGCTTTAGTTCGATAGAGACGATGATAGAGACTTTGGACGTGGGTTCTGGGATACGGACTCTCAGGGACTCCAGAGCACGAGTCCCAGAGCTGCGGAAGAGCGCGTGGGAGACGAGCTGAGTTTTCCGGCCTGGTTGAAAGGCATTGGACCGCACAGGCAAGAAATCTCAAGTCAAGAGTCTTTGCAACTCCGTATTGAATCAACGTAGCCGCCTGAGTTCTGGCAACCCTTGCATCTCAGACCAGTAACATCGCTATCCTCATGGCTACAAGGCAACAGTATAGAGAGCCCCAGAGCTATGACAAGCCTCAGTCCCTGTCCAAACTTGTCGAAGCGAACGTACACATTTTCAGTTGCCTTGTTTCGAAAGCATAGCCGCGTCCTTCGACCAGGCACTGCCGTGCAGGCACATCATGCACCAGAACGCCCTTAGGGCGGAAGTATTTATAGTAGGAGATCTCATGCTGCAATGGCTTCGCATGAAAGAACACCCTTTCAGCGGAATTGAGGCTTGGATTCTCCGACGAGGAAACCTGTGTTTCTGAAGCTTGGTGGATGTTCTCTTCTTGGAGAAGTCGATATCCAAATCCAACGTGATCCACTGGAAGGGGGCACCGAATCTTCTGGCACCTCCACAAGCTTCCCAGTGCAACATGACAAGAGCAGGATCCAATCAAGCACCATCTCTACATGATAAGCAGATCGATACTAAAAATGGGCATTGCCTGGGTTGCTTGTGTTGCAGGCATGTGTAGTCCATTCCAGTGTTTCAAGCGTGCCTGCTGATTTCATGTCATGCAGAGGGTGAAAGTTCGGCTGTCAGCGTGCTGGGTGGACCTGCTGTTTGCCTGCTGGCAACGTTTCGATTAGTTCGACAGACTGTGCCTTTAGATTGCTTCTTCAAATTACAGCGAAGGTTCTTGAAATTTCTTCAGGTCCGTCTGGCCACGGCTGTGGATCTGCTTTCATGCCCTGAGAACGATGAGGGACACTGCTTTTCTAACGGCCCCCAAGCCTCATTCTTGCATATTCGGGAGGGTGGGAGGGAAGGAGGAGAAGAGACTAGACCACAAACCCGTCGACAGAAAGCAAGACTTAGACAGAAAACACTGGGGCTTTCAGGTGGACCTACTTATTCAAGTGTCCCTCACTCATTCAGGGTTCATGGCACGCCACACCCTTTCGCCACAAGGGGAGTCAGGAGTCAGCCAGCAACCGCCACAAATGAGCTCAGAAGTTTGATCGTGGTGCCGGAGATTTTCTGAGGTGTCGCAATTATGGGGACTCGTTTGAGTGAGTCTAGTTGTGGTGTGTTGTGGTCCACCTTGTAGGCCAACAGAGTCGCAACTTAAAGTCATGGGTGGGCAGCGAGAGGTGCCGGTGCTGGGCATCGCTGGTGATCACTAGACTTAGAGTTCTCGTGAAAATGGTTCGGTGGTGCTCAAGCTTGCATCGGAACCACTAAGCTCAAGCCAACACTTTATGGACCAGAGAGCTGTCCAGAGTTAGGGACTCTGCACAACCTGCAAACCGAAACCTACTACCCTGGCAGATGCGTGAGCAATAACTCCTTGGCATGCGAGGCTGCTACAGGTCTGAACGCTTCAATGCAAGACTGCGAAAGAGCTTCGTGCGGCCTCTCCTTTCTAATGTCTTGGCGGATTTAGGGCACAAACCTCCGGCGCTTCGGGGCGCGGGGTTAGTACTCCAGTGCTCAAGCGTCTGCTCCAAATCCCCTGGACATCCAGCCGTTTGCCAGGCCTAGCCGCGTCGCTCAAAAGGGGAGGTAGGCCCTGAGTGGGACAGCCCCCCCAAGCCCAAGCCTCAGCCCTACCCCAGCCCTCTGCAAAGAGCAAGGAAAGGCTCCGTACATCTCCGTACTTCCCGCGACCAAGCCCACCCTCAGCCATCACCACCCGCTCCGAAGCTCTAGCAACACCGGTCACGTGCTTTCCCGTCCCGATGGGTGCCGCGGGCAGCCAGGGCTGTCCCTCGGTGAAAACGACTTGGCTCCGAACGCATCAGGGCGGACACGGAAGCGGTGTTTTGAGGTGGAGGGGGGCTGGGACCTATGCTGTCAGAGGCTGCAAGCTGGACGCGAGCCGGGTCGCCTCCGAGCTCCACACCTCCAGCCTCTCCCTCCTGCCCGCTGCTTAGTTCGGGCTGGGGGTCTAAGGCAGAGCTCCACCTGCCTTTAGCGAATTGTGGCCGGCAGCTGGCTTTCTACCAATGTCCGAGTAGCGAAGCCTGTGGAATCAGCTTTCCGGATTCGGTTCACATCGAACAATGGGCCTGGAATCCTGGACGAGACCTTGAATTCGAAGCCTGATGGTAAACCCCTTGTGGGCCGAGGTTTCTGGGCGAGGATGACCAAAGCCGCAGGAGCAGTTGGAGCCTGAGCTCTCTCAGAATGCTGATCCCTAAACTGAACCTCAACCCGCCTGAGCCACATTGGCCTTCTAACCCCCTACCCGGCGGAAGGAAAAGAGGTGTCGAAAGCAAAAACCCTCCAGTTTAGGGTTTTGGGTTTAGGGCTTGACGGTTGTTGATTCCAGCGGAGGTTTCCTTGGAACTTTTGCTAGATTGGTTGCGGAAGTCGCCCTCCTATGCTGTCGGCTCAAGGTGGATGTACTGCGTGATTGAGTTTCATCACGCAGCAGGGAGCCAGAATTATGCCATAATTCATGCTCTTGAATGTACGACCTGGATGTCAGGAAGGAGTAGAGTGTTGAGTTTGTGTTTTTCGCAAACATGTGTTTACACTTGCCTGCGCTTCTATGTTTGCGGCTCATCTCCACAGTTCTGCGAGTTTGGGCCCTAAAGGCTCTTGAGCCGAATACGAGGTCAGCCCAGCCGGCCGGGCCTGGGCCAAGGGCCTCGCGGAGTTCCTGTCCTTCGAGTGCCGCTCGATGTGCAACGCAGGGATTTGGAACTTCGATTTTGAGCCCTCTGTCCAAATCTGGGGCATCTTACGTGGTGTCACCGTGGACGGTGTGTCCGGCCCAGGGGCCTAGGTGTGCTTGTCATTGCACATGAGCCACCCTTCATTGCGAGCGAGTTTTCAAGCCTGTGCCGATGCTTAGCGAGGCCTCCGTCGGACTCCTCGAACCTGTCGCTCACGGCTTTGAGACTCAGTGACCTTCTTGCTGCAGAGCCTCCGTTTTCTTGACATCCTGTAGCCTCGTGGCCTCATACTGCAAGTGTTGACGATGCTGTTCACTGTCACTGCTTCGGGCAGCGGGAGAGCTGCAAGTTCGGCGGTGCTGCGCAAGCATCATCCAAGCCTTAGATCTTTGATAGGTTCGGGTTATGTCGATTCTCCTGGAGGGTGAGTGCTTCTCCCGGCCTCAAACCTGCTATAAGATTGGGCTTCAGGGCTTGAGTTGAGACAACCCAGAATGCAAACATATTATGATCTGCGTTTCTTAGTTATCAGCATGTCATCCTGCCCCAACCTGCAGCCTCAAGCTGCGAATCTTTGAAGTCCTGGCGGCTCGCTAGACGCCGACAACACGAAGGGGCCGAGCCGGGTAAGATCTGACCTGTCTGCCCAGGCTACTCTCCTAGAACGGCCGGCTGTGTCGGACCCGGGGCGGGGCATTTCGATCACTTGAGTTGGCATTGCGATTTTTGATGCTACTTGAGTGCTTACGTAAGATGAGTGATATTCGGTCGGCCGCACGCACAAGAAGAGTGGTGTATACACAGACTCACGCAAGTGTGCACTCGCCAACTCACTTCTTCGCTGCCTGATGCACTCTCTTCCTGCGCTTACCCCCTTTGCTCCTGGGACAAGATTCACCAGGCTGGCACTGCCCTGGAGTTCCGATTGCTGAGGGCTGGGATGCTCTATTGTCAAGGGAATATTATCTTATGAAGAGGGGAACACAAGACAGATTCGAAGCTCAGGCTACAGATCATGAGAAGACGTGCGACAACTACAAATCACGAGCATAAAGTTCGCACAGCGAGCGAACAAGACTTTGGGTGCGGCTTCGAGCTGTGATGTTGCCGCGGTAGCAGATCTGGTGGTGGTGGTGGTGGTGGTGGTGGTGGCGGTGGCGGTGGCGGTGTCGGCGGAGGTGGTCCTTCTAAGGGGCTGGTCCCCATACGCCGACCGCGGCCGGATGCTCTGTGGCCATGTTGCCCGTGTTTGTAGAGGCTTCGCCAAAGGGCATGTCGGACGCATGTTTCGTGGTTTTCAGAGTGGGCAGCCTTGTTTGAGCGTCTTAGCTTCGTGAAGACGTCCCTTTGGCGATTTCGTCGGTCCAGGCATTGACCGCTCTCAGACACAGTTACAACGCACATAACCATAGCTCTTTTTTCGGGTCTCATATGAATCAGGCTACCGTTCAGTTGGGCTTTGTTCCTTTGTGCTGTCTGTTGTACTTGCGGTTGTGCTCACTGTTGCTGCAGCGGGGGCTGACTCAAGATGATGAGTGTTACACCCGTTGCCACTCTCAGGGTTGATAGATACTCCTCTTCTTGTCCTATTGCAGTAGACGTGGTGTGGCTTATTGTGCTGGCTACTCGGCTCGGTGACCTCGGCCTCGCACTGGCGGCAGGAGTTCAACCACATGTTGCGAAGCCACGGCATCCCAACGGAAACCTGGGGCAAGCACGGAGCGAAGGCGGAAGAGCAAAGCGGCCAAAGTCTTGGGCTAGGGCCAGGGCTGAGAGCCGTTCAGTGTAAAGCTTGATTTTAAGGTTCAGGAAGGTTCGCGGTCGTGTTTCGGAATCGTCCTTTCTTTAAGCGGACTTCGAAGGTCCAGCTGAAGTCCGTGAGCAGTAGGAGCGGCCTTGTCAGGTTCTGTGAACGAACTCGACGTGCTAACTAACTCACTACTAGTCGCACCAGGGGAAGCCCCCTGAAGTTCTTGGAGGGTCGCTGTCTCTCAGGCGGTGGACCAACTCTTTTGGGAGCTCTTCTGTCAGCGCGGGAGCATTCTCACAGGCCTCGTGGTGTGCGAGAGGTGGAGGGATGGAATCCGGAGACAATACCAAAACGGCAAACGGCTAGGCCTCGCCCCCACCCCTCAAAAACTGAGGATGCAACCTTTCCCTCATCCCGCCCCGTAAGCGCTGGCGGCAGCGGCTAGGCCTCGGCACGAAGCAGCTGAAGCGGGTGACACGGCTCTTGACTCTCGGCGGAGGTGAGCACTGGCTCTGAACTGAGTAGGATGCCACCTCAGGCCCTTTGCCTCGGCAACGGAAGCTGGTACAGTCTCCCCGGCAAGTGGCCTAAGATCCCTCAAAACTTGCCTGAGGCATCTTGAAGCGAACTCGTATCCTCCACAACCAGCAAGGAAACTTCGACTGCTGGCGGACATCGACGGGGCGGATCATGCCTTGAGCCGGCATTGAGTCTTGTGTTGACAGGGGGTGCTTGCAATGCAGGTCCAGGCTATTCGGGGTTGAGATGCAGCTGGAGCAGCCTCACCGGCCGAGCACTGAACAGAACCTCGGGCCCCGAAGCACCTGGACTACACTGTCGACGAAATGGCTTCCACTATCCTAGCGTCGCATGCTCTCAAGTCCATGCGACTCTAGGATAGTGGAAGCCATTTCGTCCACAGTGTCCGGCAAGTGTAGTCCAAGGAAGACTTGTTTCTGAGTACTGTGTTCGTTGTTCAGGTCTTTGGGTGCTCAACCGTCTTCGACATCTTTTGCAGATTCTGAAAACGGCGTGGGCGAAGCTGCTAAAACAAAGCTCCGACAAAAGTGCCAGATAGTGGGAAACCATTGTAAACACCGAGCCTAACGAAGGCGTAGCGACTTTGCACAGCTAGTGTAGTTCGCAATAGTTGGTGTGAAGGGGCCCGCGGACTGACGACGACCGCAGCAACAACGACGACGACCACAACGGCCACGACCACGACCACGACAACGCGCGACTACTGTTGAAGCGGCGAGAGCAGCCCGAAGGGTACTACTGCCGCCACTAAAGATCCCAGGGGAGTCGGCAAGGAAATCCGTGCCGCAGGATTTTCCAGGACGGACAGGCTTTTCAGACTTCTGAGTTTCTCTTTGAGGTGGTGGTTTCACGTCTGCAGCTCATGCACGACGGCCAGCAGATCCACCGCCAACAGCTTCCGCTCCGGAGGCGGGTGTTGAATGCTGAATGTATCAACGCCTCGTGTCGATCGCAACTGTGGTCCACAACAGCGGCCCGCTTGAACCGTCTTGGATGCAGAGATACAGAGTTATCCTAGTTATTCCCCAGGACAAGAGGTTCCGTAAAGGCAAAAAAACAACCATTGCATCCATCTGCTAAGCTTCTCAGCCGACACAGCGGCATTCTGGATTCTGCAGCGAGTCGCAGACGAGTATCAGGTGAGTGTTCTGGGTTGATCCGTTTGCCAGCAAGGCTTCGCTGGAAACTGCCTTCCGACAACGCGCTGCTGCAATCCTGCGAGAGCACGCTGTATGACGAGGAGCATAAATACGTCGAGTCCTGGAGCCGCTCGGCTTCAGCTCGAGGCAGAGTTGTCAGGCCGCCTGAGGCCTCTTTCATAGTCTTTCAGTGTAGGATCCCACAGAAGGCCAAAGCTCCCTCCTTTGGCGAGGTCATGGAAGCAGAACCTAGAATCGATGCCACTGCGAAGAGGGCCAGCTCGCCGTGGGCGAAGTGGCCGCTGTAGGAATTTCCAGGATCTTCAAAGTGTCTCTGGACTCCGAAGAGCCTTGAACATGGACCTCAGGAAGTTGCTGGATGTCGGTTCTGAACGACCGCTTCGGGATCCCGGCACTGCAGGGCCAGCTTCAGGAGCGCGGGAGAGTCAGAGCTCGATCTCACAAATTCGACAAAGGAGTGGGCCAAACTTTGTCTGGGGAGTAGCTCAGAGCTTAGAGCCAATGTCCCCAGAGCCCACCCCTACCGCCTCTTGAAGTCCAACCATGACAAACGGTCTCCCTCGGGGTCTATTTTGAATTACCTGGTGCCCAACAGTTTGTCGGCTGGTGCAGGAAGTGGGCAGCGGGTGCGTCCGACCTGTTTACAGGAATCGCCCCGGGCAGAGATCCAGGTTTTGTTGTAGCCGTAGCCGATCGAACTAATCATGGCAAGCATTGTGCTCGTAAGTCAGATGACGCTTGAGCCCGCAGACACGGCTCCATGACCAGACGCTGACTATGCTAAACCATGGCCTTCGAGTCATGCGGTGCTTACCATCGCGCTGAAACTTCAACAGTGGATCCGGATATTGAGGTTCAGGCCTGATGTCAGGGTTCTTGGGCCAGAGGTACACTTTTCACACCGAAGACAATGTGCAGAGTGGCTCGCTGCATTGGTTTGCGGATCCGGGATGTTTTGGGGAAGATTTCCCTCTTCCGGGCAAGACATTTTTTGGGACGGCTTGCTTGTTTCATGGGTTCTAGCCGTTGTTGCCTAGCAAGAGCCAAGATTTCGATGTCGTTGAACGCGATACCATGCCTTCTCCCCAATCGCCAAGTGCGCTCTCAGTTTGTGTGGCACCTAGTTCTGAACTCTTGAAGCCTCTTTAACTTCCCTTAATGCAAAACAAAACCCAAGAAGCATGCTGAGGTGCTGGCTACCCCGGGCTGAACACGATGTACTGTGTGCACGAGGTCGGCTGGGTGAAAGAGTCGTGTGTTGCGTTGAAGGTTGCTGGGGACTACGATTGCAGGCATTTCACCCACGGGCTACCAGGCCATAACACCCACGCTTTGCTTTCAGGTCACCTTCCGCGTGATCAGCCCCGACCAGAAGGTGCCTCACCCAGTGGATCGTGGGCTTCAGCGGGGTTTAGGTGGCACAGTCCCTGGAACAAACCCGACTCGAGCCTAACCTGAACCGCGAAGTCTGCCAGTTGGCCTGCATCGGCTTGCCCTTGGGCCAGGACGGCTTTGGCTTGTTGGTGGATTCAGGGATGTTTGGGTGAAGCTCGAAGGTTTTTTCATCTCCCCGTACTGCCTCTTGACCCCAGTCTGCTTGGTGTCTTGCCCCTTTCGGTGATCCAGCTTTCAGCGTGGATGTTCCAGGCAGAGTCAGAGCTTCGAACAAAGATTGCACTCCTCGGAGGAGTTTGCTACGGCTGATACTCACTTCGACTTGGACAGGCCAAGAAAAACTTCCTTACTCCGGGCATGGGATAGATGGCTACTAGCATGCGTCCGTGCGGTTGACCAGCCTGTCAGAAAGCTTGCACTGTTATGGAGATTCTCGAACGAAGACCCGAGGTGCGTACCCAACGCATTACAAGCTGGTGCTGCCACAATCTGCCACAGACCAGCCGTCAAGCTTGATGCTTGCATGCGCAGGTTTCAGTGCAGGGAAGAGATCCCAATAGGCCGGCAGCCACGGGCATGGGCGACAGTCAACGTTCTTTTCGGGGGTCCAAGGCGTCCAGGATGAGCCATTGAATGTGAAAGGAGCCCTGTGACGTAGCCTCGATCTTCCAATTCTCCAGTTCTGGGAGGTACATAGAAAGACAAAGACATGCCGGAGCTGTTACTGTTTTCGTTCAGGATCTCAGATGAATGTTTGGTCCTGGACGCCGGTGAAGGACTTTGGCAAGGCACAAGTTGTTGAGGTTTGGCCTCCGGGCTTCTGTGTGTGAAGCTTGAGCAGGATGCTGCCTTGAAATTGGGGTGAGAGGGTTGGCGCCCTTGGACAGCCTGGACAAAGCCGTCGAGGGTGGAAGTCACCATTTAAAGCTTTTGGCAGGATGGGGGGGCGTTAGGCGTCCTGCTACGACTCAGGTTCAGCATCGAACAGCCTGTTCTTACCCAAGATAAGGCCAAACGCGTAAGCTCCCTGCTGACTTCGTCGTACCGAAAGCTCCCACAACATCCCCAGTTGCGGTCGGACTACTCCCGGCTCCCGACACGAAGGCAATCACTTGTGTTAGATACAATGCAGCAGTGCATCCACCCACTTCTAGCGAGGCCGCTGGCTTGCAAGGGTCCTGCTGGCTTCGACTTGGCTTGTGCATTCTACCACCTGGTGAAGGGTGGTGTGCTGCGATTCAGATATGTTTCGGATAACTTACTTTGCCATTTCGGGTGCACCGGGGAGGGCATGAAATGCACCGGTGCGGCTTCGTCCTGGGGCAGTGTAGACTCCGAAGGTGGCAGGAGAAGCATTTTGGGGGTCAGATTCGGTTGTGGCATGTTGTGGCTGAAGCTGAATCCCGTGCTTCATCTCAGGAAACAGCTTGCTGCCTGTGGCAAAGTGTTGTGCTTGTAAGAATCCGGACGCTTCAGAAGACCTTCGACTGCTGCGCAGCAGAGATTCTGTTCGGATCGGGGAGACTCAGCTCGAGCGGAGTTTGTAGTATAGTTGCCAACCTACAACAGTATACTGTTGTCTGGCACAAGTTGTGCAAGTTGCAACTGGCTAGGGGTGTTGCCCCGAGGAACAGCCCGCACGCATGAACCGCTCTCGATGAAGGGTTGAGGTTTAAGGGGGCTGCTGGCGCAGGTTCTACTCAACATAAGCACTGCATATGAATTACGCCGTCAAAGTATACTCTGGGATGGACAATTGTCTTGCAGGAGTCCCTCAGGCAGATGGCACTTGGTACTGACAGAGTTTGGAGTTCGTTTCTACTGAAAACGTCGCACTCCCCAGCCTTGGCCAGTGTCACCGGTGGTCCGGCGGGAGATGGCCTGGGACCTGGCGGCTGTGGCCTGCGCTTTTTTGAGACTTTGGGTTCAAAGGGGCTCTGACCGTTTTGAAAGTCAAGCCGCGGCAAGAGACCACCTCTTGGGTCTTGCTGTGACAGTCAGTGTCTCCGCAGGGCCCAAGAAGCCGGACACGGTGCTTCAGCAGCTGGCCCTGGCCTTAGTGGCTCCGGACCGGATATACGGCACACTGGCCTAACCAACGGACATAGTGTGTAATTCTCTTTGAAAGAAAACCAGGCTCGGTTAAGTTCGTGACACGGGCTGTGCACAGTCGCAAGCGGGAGGCAGGATGTGTCCCCGAAATCCTCACGAGGCTTGCATAACACGAATAATCTTGAATACAACGAGACGAACGGCGCATCTGAGGAGCGCGAGCTCGCACTGTTGAAGCGGGTGCCCATCGCCACGTCGATCTCCAAAGCTGCCTCCATCAATGAAGCTGTAGCTTTGGCTGAAGTTCCAGTTCTTTTCTTCGAAGACCGGATTACGGCATTACTTCGGCTCTCGTGGATCAGTCTTAATCAGAGCAGAGCTTGTTCCACGATTGAGAGATATCGTGCAGATGAAATTACGCCTAGATTCAAAGGATTCTCGGTTTGTGTTGGGCTCTGTGCGTTGCAGCCGAGCCGGACCAGCATGTTTGCAGACCTTGCTGTTTGATCCGGAAAAGATAATGGAGCCCAGAGTAGAGCTGACAGCTTGCATCGAAATGAGGGGATAGGGTCAACGCTGGTTGTGTGACATGCGGGCTCCGAAGTTGTGCAGCGTTGCATGTTGGTTGCAGTAGGTTTACGTAATGCCTTGCAGCCCAGCAGACCGAATCTAGTAGCATGCCTGGTTTGAAAGCCGGCACAGCGACCGTGGGGTCTGACCACTTGGCCGGTTCCGAGGTAGCTCCGAAGAACCAAAACATGAAGTCCGGGGCCGAGAAGGCATGCGCAGATCTCCAAAGGAAGACAAGGCAGTCGAGGGCAATCTGCACATGAACCGCATGATGGCGATCTCTGTGAAGCACCTTTAAGGAGGGGCGCCCCCAATGCACATCTCCGTCGGATCTTGGCGGGGAAAAGTCGATGCCTCGGTACTGGCTGGGGCAGAGCGGGAGGTGAAAGTTGGTGCAAGACCAGGCGCCTTGAACGTAGGGCGTAGGCTTGCTGATTGCCTGGAAGTCTCGTGAGACATAGACAACACACAGGGCTCAATTATCAATTGCATGTCTCGGCGGCCGTTGATACGATCCCTGCCGTCTTGCATGGAGCTGGAGGCAGAACACGTGCAACCCCTGTTTGTTCAGACTGCCTCATACCGATCCGAGATGCCGATCAGGAACTGACTGGCGCACGGTCAGGTGCCAGCGAGCCGGGTTTCAGATATTGGGTACAGGGCTCTAGTACCTGCCAGCTAAACTAACAGTTCCCAGCGGATCGTGGTCACGCTTCGGGCTTAGGGCACTCGTAAGGGGGGGGCCAGGGCTTGAGACTGACTGCGGGATCGCAAACAGTTGCATGACTTACTCTACGATGCAGAAAGCCTCCCACACGACTGGATGCCTGCGCTGGCGAAATCGTTGTCATGTGATCTGGCGTCGCCCTTCAAGGCACCATCTGGACGAGTCGGTTTTGGAGTTTCAATCTAATTTGCCGCATACCGCTCACCGACGCCTGATGCCAACTCTTTTCATGTTGAACCCTGCTTGAAAGCCACGAACTTGGCAGGAAGATGGCCAACCGGTTGCTGGACCGAGACTACACCTTGGCCCAGTTCAACACGGACAGTCGCTGGGGCGGTAGGGTTTTGGGCTTTTGGGGATGCTCGATGGCTGAGGCGAAACTTCGTTTGCATATGTCGGCGAAGTCGGGCAGCCAACAAGTCTACAGGACTAGGCTGTCACGAGACGAGGACCTAGCGGCCTTTCCGGAGCTGTCCCTGTACCTGCGGGATGGTGCGGCGCACTTACAGAGATCGACGGTTCCCCAGGCTTTTACGATGCTGCCTTACAGACAGCTCTGGCAATCCCTGTTGAGTTCTTTTGACACCCTGCCGGGTCTTGCAAGTCGAAATATCAATGCGCCCCAGCCAAGTGTGATCGCTGGTGCAGCGATCGGTTGCATTGAAACTTCCGCCTCCCGTGATGGCAGGCCAACCCTCACACTTCTCGAAACCTGAAAAATTCCTGTCCAGACTCTACGGTCTCAGCTTCGCCTAGGTCGTAGGCACCGGCTCAGGGCGGACAACCGATGACGAGTGCCTTTGCCAGAAGCGTGTTGTGGCTTGTGACAAGCTTCAGGGACTAGCGGTTGGATCAGTTTTGGAGGCTCAGCGTCTTGTGCCCGAGAGCTAAGAACCTCAGTCTTAGCCAAGTGAGAACGTGCAGACCGCCAGATACGTCATAGTTTGATAAGTCGTAAGTGTTCAGCGACAAGTCTTTCGTACTCGGGGGCGGCTTTCTTTCGGACAACCAGGTGGGGTTCATGGAGCTCAAATGCCTAGCCAGGCAATGGGAGACAGATGTTTCTTACAGGGAGTACCGCCAAAGCAGTCTTGTGCCTGGACCGGACCATCCGCCATCATTCGAGGCCTCGTTTCCCGAAATGGCCCCTTCCAAGCCCAACAGCCCACTTACTATCCGATGCATGTCTAGTGCAGCTCCCCTTCGAGGTATCAGCGCACCGTTTGTGCTTTCTTTGCCATCTATTGGCTGACTCGCCGCCACCTCAGCGAGAAGCTCTAGAGTTCAGAGGAATCTAAAAATGTCTGTCACCTTGACTCCTTGACTCCTTGAATTGGGCAGCAGCCAGGTGTATGTCTGATCTTTCCCTCACTCGGAGGCCTGGACCTGGAGGGTCGACAAGGCTTCTCCTTCGGCACGGACGAGGACTGGAAAGTGCTCGAGGCCCGACTTGCCAGCGTGGGCGACGCGTTTTGAGCGAAGAAGCCAGTCAGCACTTGGAAGTTGAAACCCAGCTCGACGCACCCCCAAACCCAAACCCATCCCATAGACTCTAGACCAAATCCGGGCTCGGGGCTGGGCCAAAGCAAGGATTTGTAGAAGTTGTTCCTTGCCTGCTTGGCTCGCAGATGGTTATTTCCAAGCCTGAGCTTGCTGGAATCAACAATGCCCGTATGTCAAGTCACGCGTGGTGTTTTTCCAGGCGGCCGGTGTCCAAGACGGGCAGGCTGGGGATTTCTCAGATCGTTTCAATCAGAACTCTGACCAAAGGCCAATGTTCATATGCAGGTACTGGTATACGAATAGATGCGTCAACTGGCAACAGACAAAAAGGTGTTTAATCTAACATGAGCAGGTGGCCATGCAGAGCAGCTCAGCTCCTCCCGAGATACAGCAGCGTCGGGATGCCCAATCCGGGAGAGCAGACGAAGTCGGGGCGCATAGGTGAAGGCGAGCGCTGAGGTGAAGGCAAGCAACACCCGGAACATTCATGGAGATCTTTTTCAGGGCGTTGATCTGCACCCCTCAGACCTCGAAGAGTGCAGGGGCAAGGCCCAGCTCCTACAGTAAAACGCTGCTGGCGCACAGGTCGGGGCACGCGATTACCTGAATGGTTTCTGTGTCAAAGCGAGTACGCGTGTTCAGGCATCACCTCTGACTTTCCGTTGTGCCACGAAGATCTGGTACTCTTGCTGCTACGCTTGCTTCAGATGACATGCCCTCCTTAGGCCTCTACAACAAGGAGCGGCGCCTGGCTTTCCTCAACAATGCACAGCGAAGAGCTCAGCTTGAGAGGGGGGAGATGTTTTGGGGTGCTGTTGGATTTCGAAGCTGAAGGAGAGCTCTTGCGCATTTAATGTTGATCATGTCGGGCGCTGCTTGTACCGAAGTGCTTCGGCACTTCGTCCTGGAATGCAAGCAGCTTGCCTTAGGTCGAAGGCTGGTTGCGGCTATGTCTCTAGACTGCCTGACTACCTGTCGATCCACCAAGTCCACAAAGGGGGGGAGATGAAGGTGCCAATCTGCTAAGGTGGGGCTTTTTCCGGCGGCTCATGGTGGATGCTCAGACCTCATTTTCTCACCCAGTCTGGAGAGCTTGTCGGGTCTAATCCGACCTTAGTGGACCTAGTGGATGCTAGCCATCTGGAAGCTTCAGGCCATGAAGAGAGCTTGTGCTCCGATCTGTTGCTCCTTTACTTGTCTTGAACCTCCCGGCAGGGAGACGGTTGCGGTAGTCTTGGTTTGATTGCAGCAGAAGAGGAGGGTGGATTTGCTGGCTCTAACTCGCGGTAAACTTGCCAGCTGCCAGTGGTGCATAGAGGCATATAGAGGCTGAATTCGGCAGTGAGGGCGCTCGCGCGAAAACGTAAGACTTGAGGATCTTAGCCTCGAGACACCGTCCGTCGAAGGCTGGATTGATCGACCAGGTGGGCAGTGGAAGGTCCGAGCCTAAGGCTGCATCGCCTGGCCTGTGTGCCTGAGATCCACCACGTAGGACCGACTCCCACTTCCTTCTGCCCCCGAATGTCTCGTCAGGGACTCTTTCAAAGTGAACGAGACGAGGATGGTGTCGCTCCTCGCAAGAGCCTGAGGGCTTCCCGCACAGGAACCGAAAGCCCGCTGTGTTTGCGCGTGTCAGTGGGGATTTGGAGGCTCCGGAAGGCTTCCCCGGACCAAGGCTTTGACTGCTTTCCATGACATCATGAAGATGGAGAAGCTGCTGCCAACAGCGGCGGCCTCAGGGCTAGGCATGCTTCAGCATTCGGGAAGTAAAGAGGTGTGAGCGTACGTCTGAATGTTGTGAGTGTGCGATGGTTGGTCGAATACTGCATACCGGGCTTTGAAGAGAGCGCTGGCTAAGCTTGTGCAGATCGTGACTAACTACTTGTGGATCCGCTTTGACATGATGAGACACACAAACACAGATTCACACCAAGCCAAAGCAAACCGAACCACCAGGTGCAATCGCAGCACGACGGATACCACGGCCCCACGCTCAGCAGAGCAAAGTGGGATGTTTGCAATAGCCAGACCTTCCGGAGGGATCCCGGTCTGTCGACGTCGCCAAAGCCGTTTTGGTGCCTCGGACGTTTTGGCCGAAACCCGCAAGTTTTACCTGCTCAGGCTATGAAGCTGGCGACGTCATCGGGGATCACGACCATGCCCTGTGTTACATTATGGACAGGGTTGGGAGTGGATTGCTCCGGGGCTTCGCAATCCAAGAAGTCTGAGCCATCCGGAACCCGATCCGAACGTTGTGAATGTACATGGCTGCCAAGTTGAACCACGTCAGCCAAGAGTTCTCCCAGGATCACTATCCAGACCTGCTCCCAAGCTTCAGAGAGTCTCTCGGCTGCGGGTTCTTCTGAGGCCTTGCTTTTGGGGTTCTCAAGCTTGGACGTTTCGGAAGTCCGACACCAACCTGAAATGGTGGAACAGAGGACAAGCAGCGTCCACCACCCCAACTGCATCCCGGCAAGCTTCCCGAGGCTGGGATCATCGGAGCGACAGTCCATCCAGTTCACGCAGTGCGGGAACCCGGCCAATTCGGCAGAGCTTCTCAGCGTTGCAAGGGTCGTACTCGCAGCGAGTAGCGCTGACTTAGCCGGCCGTGTCGCTCCTTCCGAATGATTGTAAAGTGACAACATTTTAAATACTATATGTGTCCTTGTCTCTGCCTTGCCTTCAGCTCCTGGCCTCAGCCGGGAAGAGCGCATGCGGTGCGGGTGTCCAGCACCAACATTATTTCAGTTACATGCTTCTGCTTTGACCCATTCTCCCAAGCATTTCACCGTGGCAAACTCGGAGGTGCAACCTGTGTTTCAACCATGGCTGGCTCGTCCAAGCAGAGGCCCCACGAGGGCCTGCCTTTGAAGAGCTCGTGAGGGCAGTGAAGTGTGCCAGGTCTGCTAGGGTTTCGCCTTTTTGGGGCTTCGAACTTAAGGGCTCTGAGAGGTCGGGTCCGGAGCTTAGCTGTCTGAGGCGACGGCGCCCTCGGATAGATGTTGTGCTCTCGGCTATTGGAAGCCCTGGAGCCACGAGTCATCTCTTGTCGCAGGCGCCTCCTGGCGCGATCTTCACGAAGTTTCGTGAGGCCATTACGGCTGACCGGAGGCTGGGCCGAGCTTCCCAAAGTCTCGTTTTCCTCTGGCTACTACAAGCAAGTGCGCTTTACTCCATACCGTCGATCGATGCATTTTGAACTATTTGTGAACTGGTTGGCTATGGGCGTCCCTGTTTGTCGCTTTGCATTTCTTGCTGCATCTAGCTGAGAACTTCTGTAGAAGGTACCTTCGATCGAGTGATATCGAGTGTAGTGCCATGGCACGCCGTGATGCAAGCATCGATGTGTGTTGCGAATCCTACTTGCAAACACATGGCAATGGACAGAAGAAAGGGAACAAACACTACGAGCCAGAGTGAAGTACTAGCAGAGGTTATCCGCGCCGATGTTTGAAAAGGTGATGCATGTGGGTGTGTATATATCTAGCATCAAACATAATATGTCTATATAAATATACATTACGCTTGTTCGAACATGCGTACACTTGCAGCTTACATAGAATTACACAGACAGACCGATAAGGAGCTGCATGTCAGTAGTTGTGTTCCCGAAGATGTTGTCTTTAAGTCTTGATATCCGAAAGCCTCAACTTCAAATTCAGAGGGCAAAGCCTACAGCTCAAAATGGAGGCTTCATGCGGGTGCTCCGGATGTGGCGCTTTACTTCGTTCATTGGCTCACCGACCTAGCATGGAGCTGAGGTGGCTGTAGCTGAAACAACTGGAGGGTTCAGGTCTCTTGAGGTTTAGGCATCAGAGATTACGGCATGAGCAACTACGGTACCGTTTAAGGCCTGTGGTCTGGCAGGTTTGACGGGCTAGCCAGATCCTGCAAGCTTCACCACCTGTAGGGTTGCGGCTTCGCGGTCGCGACTGCAAAAACCTTGAATAACAGGAGTGTTCTGCCTGGGAGCGCTCAGAGGCGGCCCGTAGGCCGCGGCTTTCCGAGGCCGGTGCGGAGCCCTCGCCTTTGGGCGGCTGTGAGAAGTTCGTGATCAAGTTCCCACTCCATGCCGCTTCCCCGGGCCTAACAGGCAGCGTGAGATGTGTTCTTTAGTAAGTTCGAAGAAGTCTGGTCATAGGAGCTGGCTGTACTTGTGCAACGATGCAAATTCTGGGTTTGGGTTTCGATTGCGAATGCAGGCGAGGATCGCAACTTTATCTCAGCACCGACACCGACTTGAAGCCAATCGGTACGTCCGGAATCATGACTTAGCCACAAAGCCTCTACGGCCACATCATCTAAGCAAGCTCAAACTGTGGACGAGAATGAACCCTAGATCGTTTCGCAAGTTGAGTCCGGACAACGACGACCTCCTAGGCAGCAGCTTTCCCAAAGCTTGCCTTTGAGAGAGAGCTCCGCGGCTCACCAAGAACAAGCTGAGGTGTTGAACAGCTTCTTGCAGTCCTTCAAGTTCATTGAAGGTATCGCCTCCCAAACGGAGACGCAGGCGCAGACAACTGGCGAAAAGATTGGGGATGTGATTATGCCTTAATCACGCTTCTGTGGACGGGTACTGCTCTCGCTGTTCGGACTCTGCACCTGTCGGTCTGTAGAGGTCCGATTGCTCGTTCCAGTTGCTTGCCCAAAAAGGGGAGGGGCACCTCTGTCCGCACGAAACGAGAAAGATGTCTTGGAATGTGGAGCCATCTAGGTTTTGCGTGGAGGGCAAGCCGATCATAGCCGATCGTTCTGCAAGAAATGCTTCTGCAAAGCTGTCAATATCCGAGCCCTGCGCTGCACGAGGTCATGGAGAAGTACCTCAAGTACCGCTGGTCAGATCATGTACCCTCTCTTGGCGAGCCTCCGCGGGGTGTGGAACCTACCGGTCGTCCTTCGGTGCAGGTAGCGCGCTGCGCTGCCAGATTTGTCACCATGTCATGTGCATGGAGCGAGAAAAGCCGGACTTTTGTCGATCACCACATCAAGCCGGTGCTGTGGCTCCTATGCCTCTAATCCAGTTGTTGATTCGAATGCGCACATTTTCATCGAATCCACCACCGCAGCATGCTTCTCTCCCGTGAGGATGCTAGTCGCAGGGTTTGCTGTCACCTCGGAAGGTGCAAGACTGATGCTGACGATGCTTGTTGCAGGGGTAGTCGCGGCCACGGCACAAGGCACAAGTCTCGTCGCCACAGCAGAAGGCACAAGTCCGGATCAGTGGGCTCATAATGGCTCGTGGGCACCACGGCAGAAGACTCGCTAGCTGATGCTAGCATGCTGGGATCCAACTGATGCGCAAGATTCCGTGTGATGTTCCTTCGGGGAATTTCAAGGCTGTTCAAGATCGCCAGGTACTGTAATTGTGTCCGCGCGGAAACGCACAATTCCCCAGATGATGCGCATGATCCCTGTGATGACGGAACTCAGTTTTGTCCGAGGTCCGCACGGCTTGGCTGCTATGCGACTTCTTTGCATGGCTCAGGTGGGGGATTTCGTGCGCAGGACTTCCGGCACTCACACGATGCACTCGACATGCCAGGCGCATGGACGCACGGTTGTGGAGGCATTCAATCAAGAACTTCCAGACGAGGCTCGGGGCTGACGCAGGTTCTGCGGTTCGGGTGCAGAAGCAAGCACTAATATGCTACGTTGTGAATCAATGGTCAATCAAGTTTTTCTGCTCCCTCATATCGAAGTAGCAACAGCCAGAAATGCCGCCAAGCACCAAAGCCACTTGCGAAAGGACAAGGAGGTGCTCAGTGTCGAGATGGCACGGACAGGCTGTGCAGGCTCTTTCGTAGCGGTTCAGAGAAGTCTTGATGCGAGTTGAATGGGCAGGTAGAGGTGCTCGAGCTTAGTTGACCTGAACTTTACGTTTAACTTTCAGCCGGTTTCGAGATTAGATTCGGGGCATGCGGTTCGTGGCCACACTGTTTCGGCTTGGAGTTCGATTGTTCGGAGCATGAAGTCCCGAGTGTGCGAGCCGAATAAACGAATGGAGAGTGGCTAAGATGCCTCAAGGAGACCAGAGTGCAAGGCTACACATCCTGAAGTGTCAAATCCAAGCCTTCATAGTTGCGGAGAGTGGCACCACGCTCCAAAAAGCAGCAGGGAGTAGCGAGCCCTGCGCTACAGAAGGGTCGAGAGCGGCAAACACTGCTAGAACGTCAGTGAGGGCAGCACCCGACACGACAGTGGTGAGGTCGCAGGTTTCTGGAGCCTTGTTCCGTTTCTGCCAATTGCAGCGCATAACTTTGCCGCGACACAGTGAAGCTAGTACATCGACTGCCCTCTCAGGTCAATCGTTCTCGCCCGAACTTGTGCCCATGCAAGTACTTTCAAGACCGGTACCTTGGCTGCAGAGCTGCGGGAAGCCTTTGCAGGTGCGAGGCTTCTCGGCGGGTACGACAGGGTTTCGGATTTCCTTTCAAGCTGATTTGGCCTTATCGAGCCTGAAGCAGGACCGGATCCTAGGTATGCATCGCTTCCCTGCGCAATTTCCCGGCAAGGTTTTACACGAGCTCGATGCCCAAGCGAGATTCAGGGCTAGTGTTGGCGCATGACATGTGGGCCAATACCCGCGGGGGCACGTGACCCTAAAGCAATCACTGCTCAGCGCGGGCACCTTAACACAGGCGTTCGCTGGCGGTCGTTGATAACACTCAGTGGTCGAGTTGTGGTTGTCGCGGCTCCACTACATTCACCGAAGGCTTGGGCTCAGGGCTCACAGCTTAAATCCCTCAAACGAAGCCCGGCTCTGTGCGATCCGCTGAGGCTGGACCTGCCTTCTTGATTTACTATGGCCCGGCCTTCCTCCAAGCTGTAGGCTTGGTCGGGACCACGGAGCTGCTTGGGGGTGAGAGTTGCCTGAGGAATGAGCACTAAACTTGCATGTTCAGCCTCGAATATCCTCGAATGCGGAAGTCAGCCCGAAGCAAATCCACGAGTGTGCGACTCGCTGTCGGTTGCGCCTGCGACTCGGAAGGCTCCGATTCGGTCGTGCTTCGTCCGGGACGCAAGATGCCGGTGCTGTCAGGGTTGCAGGAGCTCGCCCTGTCTTGCCCTCACGGTCTTCTCTTTTGGAACAGTCTCGAATGAGTTGGATTCAGGGTGTCACTGTCACCGGACCTGCTTCCAACGGCCGGACATGCCATGTGCATCTGGTGCGTTGTTCAAGTGTGTCAGTTCATCCACATCAGCTGCTACTTCGCCTCGAATACGGGTACTCTTGGACGGCGGAAAAGGGTGCCAGAAAAACAATGCCCCTAGATTCTAGATGGACACAAAAACCAGAACAGGAGCAGTAAGAAGAGTGATGACAGGGCCTGGAAGTCCAGAGTTGGACGCGGCATCCCTGAAACATGACGAACCTGGACTTTTGGTGCGACCGTCTCCACCCGCATTGCACAACAGCTGGCGAAGCAGTGGTCCAACATGTCGGCGTTGACAACGACATGTATCATGATGTGCTTTGGGATGCTGGCTCGAGGATGACGGTAGATTGAAAGACATCTTGCACAAGCTCTCGTGCAGCTGCCGCGATGACATGCTGGAACGTGTTGAAGCGACACACGGGTCCTAGGGAGCGCCTAGGCTTCAGGGCTGTTGCGAAGTTCAGGGAAGCCGCCAAGGTCTCCGTATCCTCACGGAGATTTACCGCTGCGCGCGCGAGCTCTGGCCCGAGGCCGCGAGTGGGGCCACGTTGGAGCTCGGGATGCAGCTGGAAAGCTTTATTGTAAACGCTTCGGGCCCGAGCAGACCGGGCCGTTGGATAAATGAAGAGGAGCAAGGCCGAAGCAACGAGAAATTGTGGCTCAACTGCCGGAAGTTCTATTTCTCGATGTGATCGGTAATCGAGAAGTTATTAAGCACTTCACCGGAGTCCCTTTGCAAACTCAGTATTTAGATGTGGTTACAGACACCTTGTGCCAGTCGCAAGCTGCTGTGGCAACTTCAGTGCACGTCCGGATCGATGCGATCAAGGCCCTTCTTGCTGGCAGACGGCTGCACTTTCAACTTTCAATCTCCGTTGCCATGTGCTTCTGTTGAATTGCCTTGCTTTGTGATCTTTGTGAGGCGTTGTCGTTTTTGTCGTTCGGCTGGTTCATATTGCACCATGTCCCCTGTTTACACTCCGTGTGTGGAAGACTTTGCTCCCACCTCCCAATGTCGGCAGGATCCCGTTAGAGAAGGTTTGTAGGTAGTCGACCATGATCATCGTTGTTGAGTGCATGTTTGATGCGGCCACTTGGGCTTTTCGGACCGATGTTGTAATATAACTATATAACAGCATGCGTGCGAAAGCCGGTGGTATTACATAGATGAAAACCACAGAGGTGCGAATCAGTAGTGCATTTTAATGTATTCGGCTTGGCAATACTTGCATCTTCAGATTCAGAGTGCATGTGCGGTGGTATGTCGCATGTCGCAGCATTGCACCTCCTTGAGCAACACTAGTCTTCAAGACCCTCGATGCAAGCCTTGCTCCATAGCTTTACATGTCAAGCACATCATCCGAGGAGGCTACGACGCAAGCTGCTCCCAACCTCCCCCTCAGCCAGCCTTACCTAGTTGGACTGTGCATCGCCTGGTATCTAGTGGCATCTAGAGTAGATTGATGAACCCTGAGGGCCTGGGAGTGGACGACATCTCAGAGGTGCTGGTCAAAGGCTGCCCGGAGTAGTGGCTGACAGGATCCGGCAGGGCTCAGTCGGGGCAATCTGCGCCAGTCTGCCTGCCAATCCGTGCTGGCTTTATGTAAGACGGCAAGGGGAGTGTCTTGAAAGTGACTCTCATGATGCCTACTCAGCTCATTACTCGTGATTGTTGCCACAGTTCTCTGGATTACACTAGCTTCTCGAACGCATTTTTGAATTTCCTGGACGGTGCTGTAAAAGGTAATAGAACACTTGTATGCACTGCACCGGCTGGAGCATACTGGAGCACTCCAAAACCCTATAAAGAAAGAGGGGCGCAGGCGAAGGCGAAGAGGCGAAGGAAGGGCCCGTGGCCGCCACTGGCAGGCGAGCTCTGGCTGGTCACCAAGCACAACGAGAGCGAGGCCGGCGCTCCGTCTCGTGCCCGTGCTCTTTGTCTGTGTCGCTCCGTCCCTCGGTTTTTTGTTCTGTAAGGGCCTTTTGAGACACTTGGACTCGGAGATTCTGGTGATCCCTCGTTTGAGGCTTTTGTGGAGAAGGCCTCTCACAGGAAGCTCAACAAGCCTTGCTCCCGGCCGCACCGCACCTCTCTAGAGAGTTGAGCAAGGAGCTACGACAAGGAAGTTCGTGGGCGTGAGCTCTGGGTTCCAGCAAAGCAGCATTCTGCAAGCTTGTTCCTTCGACGATGTTTGTCTGACTTTGGGATGAAGACCTGCTGTTTGAGACGCCCAGGTTCGTGAGAAACGGCCAGAAGTTTCAAATCCTCGATCTCGGCCCGGCGCCAAGCATGGCGAATATGCAATTAAGGGTACAGTATCTTGTTTTGGTCCTGACATAGCGCTCTACGTTGGGATCGATTATCTTAGCAAACTCGCCTTCACGAACTGCAAGTTGGATGTCTGCAAACTGGCGGTGAACATGAATCGCTCCTTTTATTTTCCGTCTTGCTCGTTGTCTTTCGTTTTCTTTGTCACCTGCTTCTTCAGGGGTCCGGCAGATCCGTTGATGTAAAGTAGCTGGCAACTGATCCATACTGATCCTATATCGCTTTGGGCTTCACAGCCGCTCTTAAACATTGCATGCAGGTATCTTATCACCCTGGGCCCGACAAGCGAAGTCCCCCGCAAAGCAGAGAACCAAAGACCGAGCGCGATTCGGGGCCGGAGTCCCGACTGCAAGTCCTCATAGCGAGTCTGGTGATTGGCCTCTGACTCTGCGTCGTATGCTTTCATGACCCATGCAAACGCTTCGTCCGGTGAGTCTGAGGCAGCTCTCACAGCTCCCCGTGTTGCTGTTTTCCACGACCTATACGTTTCAGGATTCGGAAACTCGGGCAGGCGAATGTTCTCTGCTTCTTTCACCTTCGGCTTGGTATCCTCTTCCTTTTTCTCACCCGCAAGGCTCCTAAGGCTTTCGAGGATAGCCATCTGAGTTTCAAGCAGAACTTGTTTCCCAATGTTCAGCGTGCCTTGCTCGGCCGCTGGAGGGGCCGTACCACTAGGCGCCGTTGGGTCAGGAACATTGGTAGGCTTGTGCACAGTTGTCGCACCTGTCCAGGCTTCCTCCGTGAGAGTCACTAGGCTTGGCAGAACTCCAGCTGCAAGACTGCTTTGGCGAGCAAATTCAACCAACCATTTCTTGCATCGAGTTCTGTTTTTCGGATGGCTCAGGGAACAAGAGATTTCAGGCATCACGGGTCAAGGGCTATGCATAACACAAAGCCAAGCAGCCATGCACAGCAGGCGAGTGTGACAGCTGTTTTCTGAATTTCTACTGTCACTGCATAGTCAGCACCGATTCCGTCACGAAGCTTCACTCAGCGAGAGTTGAGCTTTTGGCCAGAGCTGCGCTGCACTGTCTTTGCTGACTTTGCTTGGAGACCGGACATTTGTCACAGTGCGTGACTAGGACCGTTGCAGACGGTTTCAGAGGTCCGGCTTGGACTGTTTGGCAGTCCTACTCTGACATGTACGAAAGCTGTCAGTGCAAGCTTGGCTGCTTGGCTGTGATGCCAGAATGGCACGCCCAGGCCTGCAGCCAATAATTTGCCACAGTCAGTCTGGGCGCAAAGCCGTTAGGCAGCTGAACACAGCAGAGGCTGGACTTACAGACCACCACCGATGCTTCTTGCTCTCTTGCGGATACATGGCCATGGTTTACAGGTTTAGATGCG